AACGAGGTTCTCGGTTGCGAGACGTTTACGGTTGCGAGGGGGTTTTCGGTTCTTGCGAGGCTCCTCGGATTTTGAGTGTTTAAATTTCAAATTTCCACACCCCTTTTAACTAAGTGTTTAATATGTAAAGGTTATTAATCTAACCTTAAGATTACATCAAAGCACAAGTTTGACTTTTTTTGGACATGTTTGACTTTCGTTGACCAAGATTGACTTTCATAATAACGAAAATAACGGGTTGTCACATCTAGCGACTCCTTCTCCTACTCCTCCCTTATCGTCTCCAACTATACAGGTTCGTTTTCCATTTTCTTCCTGGCTTTCATTCATCTTTTGTTTTCTACTGTTCAATCTTCATTCTTTTCCCTTCTATCTGTTAGTCTCAAACTGGAATCCTATTCTATTTGGTTCCATTCAGTGATTTTCTTCACCTAGTTTGTTTCATCCCGTTTCCCCTTTTGTTGTTTTACTATACTGTTTTTTTCTATGACTTGATTGAAATCCACGAATGTAACACCCATGTTCCAGATTGGTTAAGCCTTTTGTCGCCAAGGACTAAATTTGGAATTTTGATGAAACTTTGTGTCACGACTTGGTACAGGATGCCCACGGCGTGGCCATGTTGGAAAGGAACGCTCGTTTTATGGAGCCACCACAGTGTGGCATAAGGCCACCACGGCGTGGTAGTTGTTCAGGCCCAAGCCCACATATTTTTAGGGTTTCTCTCGTATTTAAGCATCTTAACCCCCATTCTAGGTCATCTTCTTTAACCTCCATCCCTTTATTTCGAAACCCTAACCTCTCTTCCATGGAAGTGACCTTGGTGGCTTGATCTTGAGGTTATTGTCTTCTTTTGGTGAAACTTGAAGAAGAAAGAAGTTCACCTTGGTGCAAGGAAGCAATGAGCAAGCTTAGATCCAACATCTTCTTAGCATTTCTGAGTTATTGGAGGTATAAAGTTCACATCTTGACCTTTGCTTTCTTGTTTGATGTTTGAGCCCATTTTTGGATATTTTGGTCCCATTCTTGGATGCTCTTGGAGTTTGAGGAACTCCAGAGCTTGATATGCTTTTCTCATGGTCATGAACTTTTGAGTTAGTGAGAAAAAAGTCTTAGCTTGAGTGCTCTTGATCCTATGTTTTAGTTTTGGTCAAATATAAATTTAGTAAAAATTCGTTAACATTCGTCACAAATCCGTTGGAAATCCGTCTCAAATCCATCACGAATCCGTTGGCAATCCATCACAAAGTCTGATAATTATGAATTTAGTGTAAATTCATCGGTTTATTGACGATTTTGTGACTGAAACTGCCTTCAGAAATAGGTTTTTTCTAGTAGTGCAACCCCTAAAAGAATTGTGCAACCCCTGACTTTTCTTTCTGGATCTGCCAATAATTACTTGACATGCTTATTACAATTGTTGGTAAATATGAAACATCTCTAATATGGACTATTTTAAATTATTTCAAAAATCAGAGTTTTAATTGCAGAATACGATCATGGAGTTTAAATTTCCATAATAGTTTGGAAACCATGTGAGAGTGTAACATTCAAATCCAAAGACAATAGTAATAGGTAAACATTATCTTATACCAAAACATGTTTTCTAGAATGTTCAAAGCTTCTAAATATTCATTTGTTCTAACAAGACGCTTTTAACCTGAAAAATATAGCAACATAGTGGGAAAAGCTTTAAGAAGCCTAGTTATTGAATCTCCAGGTTACACATTATAAGAATAATATATAATGAACATCATTTTATATACAAATTTACAACCACATAACTCATCAAAACTCAATAAATCAACAAAACTCCAATTTTTAGGAAAACATTTCATAAATCAAAATATATTGTTAATATCATAACATTAAAAAAAACTTCATAAAGTCAAAGAGTGTATATAAACTCAATGTATGAAATGGAACAAAATGCACAAACCCCTAAGGCTACTCGGTATGGGTTGTGTGTTATAACATCCAAAACTTGTCACCTCACATTCCAACATGTTATAACATAATGTTGGGGTGGTGTTACATGTGATAACATGGTGTTAAGAGGAGATAAAGAGAGAGAGATTATGTGCAGCCAATCAAATTCGATGTTTCACCCTGTTTTCATCTTAACATGCCTTACTATAACATCATTTGGGGGTGGTGTTCACGGCCTAATAACGTCGTTATTATGTGTCAACTCAGCCATAACGGCTTGTAAGATGACCCATACTGATTAGCCTAAGTCAACTACATCTCAAAAAGTCCAAACTTTCTCTCACTTACAGGACAACCAATGTAATGGTACCAAGATAAAAGTTTCTCGTATACTTGTATTCTCATATTTTCGTATTCACATATGCTCGTATTCTCGTTTATGCTATTCAAGTCTCGTATAAATATGTCTGGCCATGGCCACACAAGTCTCAGCCCACACAATACAAATCATAATTTAAGATTCAAACATACACCTTATATCATTTCAAACATCATAAAAGAAATTTTCATTCAAAAACTTAATAAGTAAATAATAATATAAATATATTTTTTGATATAAAAATAATATATTAATGTATTTACAGTTAAATAGTTATTTAATTGTGAAAAAAATTTAGTTTGTTTTATTTTTAAAAAAATATAGCAATATTCATTGGTATTGTTTTTTTCAATTAAGACTAGAATCCTCAAGAAATTTGGAGAATTCAACGGAATGTTTGACAAAAGTTACCCCCTCCTTCCAGAAGTACAAATGTCTAGGAACTCTCACCTCCCAACTCACGGCGGGCACTTCATCTATAATATTTATTTATACACAAAAAATTACATACAAATTAAGACACTTATGCTATTTGAAGTGGGGGCGTCGTTATAATCAAGCCCACACCGGTGGTGGTTGTGGAGGAACGTGGTTGACGTGGCGGTGAGATGGAAGGTGGCCATGTCGGAAAACGCCACCCTCCACTCCGGATAGTCTTACAAGACATCTTCAATTCTTATTAAAATATAACTTTACGTAAACTAATACATTATTTAGAACAAGAGGTTAAACTAATAACATCGATGTTATTTGTAAGCTCAATTCACAATACTTTCCACACATAATCCAAATTTTGGCCTATTGAATTTGGAAAACATATGGAATTCTAGAAGATGATATCATAATTTGTCGCAGTAGGGTTTGATAGTTTGAAAAGTAGAGGTTGTAAATAAAATGTTAATGTTTTCTTGTAATTTTTTTATTGACATAGAATTTAAAAAGTGGCATAACTCGATGATAATTTAACCAACGATGATATGCTTAACACATTTGGTCTATTTGAGGTTAATTGTTTATAAAATCTTGTAATTTTATTATTCACATAGAATTTAATAATGTATGTAAAATTTTCAGTAAAATAATAAACTTTGTTGCTATGATTGGTTTTTGAATGCCTGATTTTTTGCTTTGGTGTGCTCCCCTTCTAATGAGTGGGTAATCAAGGCATTGAAAATATATTCATCGCCTAAGAGGTCGATGTTCAAGTCTCGTGATGAACATAAGTATGATTTAGTAAATGTGTTACCTGTTCAAAAATGTATTGGTCTTGGTGGGTTTGTTTCCTTTATTTGTTTTTTTCCCTTCATGATTTTGAACATTTTGTATCATTGTCCAGCCTCCCGCTTGCGTTTTTTTTAAATATATTTGACCATTGTTCTAAAAAAAAAAACTAAAATAATAAGCTTCCCAATCTGTAAGTTTGAGTCCTTTCAAGTTTCGATAATCACTTTATAAATATTTACTGAAACCCTTTATATAATCGATAAATTATAACAGTTTACTTACAACTCGTATGCACCTAAATTAGTTCTCTAACTAATGTATGCACATGAACTCACAAAATGGTTAAATCTAGAAATGAAGTATGAGGCATTGATGTCAACAATGTTGCATTATTTGACCTCCATGCGTGTGACAGAGGTGACATGGTTGATTCCACATCGTTCAACAATATATCTAAGGTATGTATTCCGCCTCACAAATGGTTAAATTGAGAAATTAAGTGTAAGGTAGTTCTGTCAACAATATTGCTTTGTCTGATCACCAACGACACTACTTTCGATTCTGTAGATGGAGGTGACCGAATGGATTGTTGTGATTGTTAAAAATACTACATTTTAACCACTCATTAATACATGTTGTCTTTGCAAGCTACATTAATACATAACATGGTATGAAAACAACCATTCTTCATAGTAATAACACGGAAAACACAATCCGTGAGAAAATGGTTCTTTTGCAAGTTTGTATTTGACAGTTAGATCTATAGAAATTTAAAAACATTTGAATAAACGAGTGAATAATTACTTTTCGTGATGTCATTTACTTCGACGATATTAGAATAACCTTATTTGCAGTAATTTAGTGGTCCTTCCGTATTGACGTCGAACAAGTGGATGATATAAAGCCTTTGAATTTATAACAGGGGAATTGGAAAATAGGATCACATATTTGTGGTCACATATTTGATTTCAATGACATTTGAACTTTCAACATAGACATTAGAAAATGAAACCTTAAATTGGTAGTATAGATGGTTTTTATGTGTTAGTTTTTTAAAGCATGGTTTTTAGGGATGGTCCTAGAATAACTTTATTATTATACACAAACATTCAATTAAACAATATATTAATAAAAGTTCAAATACATAAATTATAATCGGTTACTCAAATGATATCATTTTTTGTTCGTTTCCGTTTTAATGTTGTTAAAATTAAAGTGAGATGACTATGATATGATTGATATCCTGATATCCTGTGAGATTTAAGTTTTGTTTTCCTCATCGTTGATGGTTAGGTCTAACTTGTAACTTCTGACAAGATTAGGGTAACACATGTAACTTATTCATAACTACAAGGCTCTAAGTGGAAATTTACCATCACAGTGACCAAAGACCAAAGTCCAAAAAGACTTCGAGAAGATAGGGTCAACACAACAGCCCACCAAAGCCCATACGTCACTCAATCAATTTTCCACAAAAAACTATTAATATAAATAAATCCACGTCGTAAAAGATTACGAATGAATACGTAAAGAAAATCAACTTTTCAGCCTCGATTCCTGCATTCCAGCATATAATTGACTTCAATCGAAGAACCCAAATTGGAATTTCCGGAATTTGGTTGTTTTTCTCTCTCAGGTAATTCATCAAACACCTGGTGTGCAATTGTTTCCGTTATTTTTGGCATATCTAATTGACCCTGTGTGTAAGTATTTGTGTATGTCTATTTCCCACCATTGTACAAAATGGGATGCTTTTGCTTTAATCTTCCGGAAATGAGTTCCTGTTGTTAACGAATTTGTTAATTAAAGTTTCCCTTTTGCGCAGCAATCATCGTAATTCTTATTTGTCTTCTTCATGTCTTTTTTGGTAGGAAGTATATAAAGTGGACTAGATAAAGTGACCTTATCTTGCTGGGTTATGCTATATTTGGGGGAACAAGGAGTTTTATCTTCACTTCTTCAGTTCTCTGGTTAAATTCATGCTTTTGTTCGAATTCATCTGGGAATTATATATAAAAAAGACTGGATTTTTGGAAGTTTTTTGTGATAAGAAACCAAAATGAATGATGCTCAAAGTAGTCTGCCTCCGTTCATCGCGAAAACCTACGAAATGGTCGATGATCCGTTAACTGATACGATCGTATCATGGAGTCACAACGATCGGAGCTTCATCGTTTGGAACCCACCTGAGTTTTCCGGCGAATTGCTTCCAAGATACTTCAAGCACAATAATTTCTCGAGCTTTATCAGACAACTCAACACATATGTAAACTCATCTTTAATGACTCATTTCCTTTCATGGGTTTCGTTTCACTTTTTCCTAATCGTTAATTAACTTCGTTTGACGCGTTTAATCTTTTAGAGTTTTCGGAAAATCGATCCAGAACAATGGGAATTTGCAAACGAAGACTTCATTAGAGGTCAACCACATCTCTTGAAGAACATCCATAGAAAAAAGCCCGTTCATAGTCATTCGATGCAGAACCTCTATATCCATGGAGCTTCTTCATCTTCTAACGCTTCTCCATTAACCGAATCAGAAAGAATCCGATACAACGAGGAGATTTACAGGCTGCATTACGAGAAACAATCGTTGTCATTAGAGTTTCAAACGCAGCAACAAGAACAAAACGAGATCGAATCAACGGCACGTTGGTTGACGGAGCGGTTAAAATCCGCCGGAAAAAACCAAAAATATATCCTGTGTACTCTGGATCAAATTCTGCAAAAACCATTGAATACATGCGATTTTACTCCTCAAGTCCCCGATAATAACGATCGTAAGAGGCGACTTTCGGCTGAACCTCACAACGATCAGTCATGTCCTTGTAACATCCCGATCTCCGAGACGCTAACTACAAACACCCTTTTGGCGTTGGATCTAGAATTGGTGGAGCAATTAGAATCTTCTCTGATGTTTTGCGAGAACTTATTGACGGAAGTTCAGGAGACTCTTGACCGGAAAAAATGGCTGCCGGAGTCGGAGCAGGAACCTGCAAGTTCTGAACTGAACACAGTGGCCGGAAGCGAAGAAGAAGAAGAAGGAAGTGGGAACAGGGGTAACGAGCAGTTAAGTGTTAATGACGGATTTTGGGAACAGTTTTTGACTGAGAATCCTGGTGGTTCGACGACGGAGAATGACCGGAGGGGATTAGATCAGTACGGGAAGTTTTGGTGGAATATGAAGAGTGTAAATAGTCTTGCAGATCAAATGGGGCAACTTGCTCAAGCAGAAAGAACGTAAAATTATATAGTGTATAGAATATAGATAGTTTTTGTATAATTGTGTTTCAGTTTTGAAGATTTATCTTGTTTCCCTATAGGGGGGTGTTTATACTTTATAGATCCTAATGAGGTTTTGTAGGAACATTTCATATTGTTTTTTGACTTTTTTTTTTCATGCGATTTATGTATGTTAATACAAGAATGTACAAAATAAGGGTGTTTGAGAATTGGGATTGCTTTAAAACTCGTTATTGGCTTTTTGGAATAGCCAAGAATTCCAGGCTTTTTAAAAAAACCTTTTTTTTTTTTTTTTTTTTTTGCTTAAAAAATTAGTGTTTGCATGTTTAATAATCGAAATTACAAAAAAAGGTCACTAAACAGGGTTAGGTTGGATTGCATATGAGTTTATTGGGACATTCTTCATCAAATTAGTAATATAAGGGATCTCCACGTAGCAGCGTGTTTATTTATTGTATATATTTGACGTAATTCCTACAATGTTTTGTTACATATTTGACCATTTCTATAATTTGCTATTAAATAGTAAATGAGTGTAATTTTATTTTACACATGGACAATTTTTGTAATTTCAATACTACAAATGCACCATTTTTATAATTTCAGTGTAACACCTGTTTTTCCTAGTAAATTCTTTAAAGTTTACATATTTAGATTTTTGCATGGATGGTCGTTACGCGGGGCGTACCTAAGGGTTACGCGGGGCGTAACTCATTAAGTTGAACGCGGGGTTTCCCTTGAGTACGCATGGCGTGCTTAGAGTACGTAGGGTGTACTCGTGGTGAATGCAAACCTTAATTTTAGGGTCTTGGATCCTATTTAAGGACCTTAAACCCTTGGAAACCCTTCTTATCATCAGCCACCACCATCTCTTTCAGCCCCCATGAAACCCTAGCTCCATTTGTGAGAATCTCAAGCTTTTGTGTGATTTTTGGTGTGTTATAGTGAAGAAGGAGAACTTGGAAGGTGTGCTTGGAGTCCATAGATTGTAGATCCAGACTATATTCATTTTTATCGTCCTTCATAAGGTATAAAGTCTTAACCTTTATGATTCTCTTGCATAGATCTAAAATAGTTTAGGGTTTTGGCATGTTTTGGTCCCAAGGGTTGGCTCTTGTGAGCATGAGCTACTCCAGAGCTTAGGTTAGCATTTCTTGATGTTTCAGAGGTCCTTATTGCATAAAAATCGAATCTTGTTGGGAATAGTGCAACCATTCATGAATTATTGGCCATTTTATGGAGTTAAGAAGTTAGGGTTTGGTTTTGGGCTCTATTAAGCCATGCAAAAGCTTAAAGTTGTCAACTTTATCAGTTAAGACTTTCCCAAGGGCTAGATCTATGAATTGGACGTTTAGACTGTAGGTATTAAGTGCTCAATATGAATTTTGGACTTCAGGGTAGTACGTTGGGCGTAACCCTGGAGTACACAAGGCGTAACAGGCTTTGCTCTGTTTCCCTTTCTGTATTAGCCCAATACGTAGGGCGTAATTATAAAGTACGCATGACGTACTCCGAGAAGCCCATTTGGGCCATTTTTGGGCCTTGGGTCATTATGGGTTTTGGGCCAAGATTAGTTTGGTCAAATATGGGAATGGTAAAATGGTCTTTTACTCTTAGTAAGATAAGATATGATTTGGACCATTGATTAGAGGTTATTACCCTGATTATTAATTAGGGTTGATTTTGGATATGTTCAGTGTGAGGAGTTGTGGTAGCAGCAACTCGAGAGTGTGATTTGTTTATCATCATATTGATGTGAGTCTCCTCACTGTACTTGTAGGTCGAAGGCACTAATATCAACCCACTGGATTATGTTGTAGGATAATAGTTGTCTTCGTGACACTTACTGATAAGCCTGTATGTGCTTGTTGTCTTCGTGACTCTTGCTAGTATGACTGCATGCTTAGGTGTAGGGGTGAAATAGACCCGTGTCGGTTGGAAGATACCGAAGGAGTTGGAAGGAACTCAGAGAGTCGGAAGGGACTCAGGGGTGAAATAGACTCGTTGCAGCTTTAGGTTGATATATATATGTATGCTATGTATATATGATATGTATGTATGATGTGTATGTATGGTATGTGATATTTTGCGGAACTTATTAATCTTTGTGCTTACGGTTTATGTTTAAATGTTTTTCAGGTACTTCCGGTTCAAAAGGGAAGGGTCCGACATGATCGCATCACAACCACCAGTATTTAGTATTTTATGATTTTGGGATGGTATTCTGATAATTATTTTCCACATTGAGATGCTTTCGATGATTTTAAATGAATGAATGATGGTTTTGGTTGACTCAAAACAAAAAATTTTACTTAGTATTTTTAGGATGTTACATTCAGTTATCAAAGATTTATATTTGATAACACTGGATTCCTATTTTTCAATAAGATCAATACAGGTGGTTATTTTATTTATGTCACTTATTTTATGGGGACCATTTCTATAATACTGAGGGTATATGAGGTCTTTTTTTTTTTTTTTTTTTCAATATGGTATTATATGCCTGAACCATTTTTGTCATTTCAAAATTACACAAGACCTAATTCTGTAATCTTGCTATTATACTCGAACCATTTTTGTAATATACATAAACACTATTTCAGTAATTAATTCTTACATGGACAATTTTTATAACTATTTCTTACATGGATCATCTAAGTAAAATCTTAATTTTTCCAAGGACTATTTTTTTTTTTAAATAATTTTATATATCATACAAGGAACATTTCTATAATAATTTCTTACATGACAATATTTATAAATCTTAGTTTTTCCCATGTACCATTTTTATAACAAAAATATTTATGATATTAAGGACAATAAATATGTTGCTAATCTTGAAAGAAGTTAGGTATTGCCGATATATTGCCTAAAAATACGACATTTTGGTAGTTTGGCAAATTATTTGATCTTGAATTGTTAATCCAAGATGAGATAAGTACAGGGATCTAATTCAAGTTGGATATGCCGATAGATCTTTACCCATTTTATATATGAAAAAAAAATAGGTCAATGTGTTCTATAATTATATATCTACTAGTTTGTTTGACAAAATATTTTTGAAGGATAAGTTAAACTTTTCACACGGTTCAAAAGAAACAAGAAGCAAATCAAGTAGTTAGTTGATAAAACTTTAACAAAAAACCTTATTATAACGGTTTAGCCTAATTTTCAACAAAGTCGACCACGATTTTTATTTATGTATGTGAATTTAATATTTTTGGAAATTTTTAACATATTTTTGTTTTTATTTGTTCTCACTTGTTCTTCGTAACTTCGTCGACCACCTATTTTCCTCAATGATTGATAGGTGATTTGTTTGTTGCTAGTCTGAAGACGCCTGTGATGGTGGTGTAGATAGATAAGTTTTCTTGACAAAATTACAAGACTTCACGTGTACACTAAAATGCAATTTTTTGTCTTTCAATTGTATTGCATTAGGTTTTGTATTTTCTTTGTTTTTGATAAAACTAATTGTTAGCTACAAGCTAAAAGATGATAGCTTATGTTTGAAAATTAGAAGTTAAAAGTTATAATTTTTATTTGTGTATCAGTGTTATGTTTTCTATTTTCTTCTACGATGTTTTTGGTTAAATTAGTTGGTAATACCTCCGTCCCAAATTAATTGTCTACGTTTGACTTTTGAAATCTTTATTATTCAATTTTGACCTTAAATATTTTTCTTTTTTATAGATAATACTTGATGCAAAATATAGGAATAGATTGTATTTTAAATATCTTTTCATTGTTATAAGTTTCATCATGTAATATATAATACAAATAAAAATATTTAAGGTCAAAATTGAAGAAAAAAGACTTTAAAGGTCAAAAATAGACAATTAATTTGGAAAGAAGGGAGTATTTGATAGTTAGAAATAGAAAATGGTAAGTTGTAATTTTTATTTGTGTAATAATGTTCAACAAACATATTTGTAAGCTTTTAAAAAATATAAAATTACATGATTTAATAGTTAAAAGCTCTCAAAAGCTATTTAAAATCGCTTTTCGATTAAGAATTTTTTGTTTAAAATAAAACCTAAAAGTTTGTACTACTTAACAAATACTTTTTCTTTAATTTAAGTTTTTTTTTTGTTAAATATAAAAACTAAAAGCCTCATTTGTTGGCAATACCGATACTATTTACAAAAAATATTTTCTGAACGGTATGTTTTTCATCCTAAATTGTTAGTCAACTTTTGACTTTTGAAGTCTTTTTTCTTTAACTTTGACTTTAAATATTTTTATTTGTATTATATATTACTTGATAAAACTTATAACAATGAAAAAACAATTAAAATACAATCTATTTCATATATTTTGCATCAAGTATTATCTATCAAAAACAAAAATATTTAAGGTCAAAGTTGAAAAAAAAAGACTTCAAAAGTCAAAAGTGGACTATCAGTTTGGGACGGAGGTAGTAATATTTTTTTTGAAACATTGTATTTTTAATAAAATTAAAATACAATGTGTGTTTAAAAAAAGAATAATTAAACAATGAGGTTTTATAGAACATTTAGATAGATATGGATAAATTAGTTAAAATTTTAAATCAAATTACAGAAATCATCCATATGGTTTGTCAAAACTATGCGTTTGGTCCCTAACTTTTTATGTGTACTCGGATCATCCATATAGTACGGTTTTATTGCAATTTTAGTCCTTATCACATGTAAGAAGATTATTTTACACTTACTAGATTTTTTTAAACTCTTATAAATATTAATGTTATTTTTTATACATATATTAAATGCATTGGCCCACTCCTGACTCCATACCTAATCATCTTGTTCCATCTCTTTCTAGTTTCTCCTCCTTTCCTCCATGAAGACCATCAATCCCATACTTTTTCTTTGGCACTAGAGATGCTATCGGTGTCACCATTACCATCCGACCTATAACATCGTCGCCGCCTACATCCACCTCCCCATCACCTTCAACTACTTTTCCTTCCTATTGTCTCCCCCGCACCACCTACTTCAACAAACAACCAACCTTTTACTTGGGGCAGAAAACGCAGATCATGGGTTCAAAGACCCAAATGAAAGCTTTGATTCTAAGAAAACATATGGAAAACCCCTCAT